CATGCATTTCTGTGAGACTCCACCAACTTTCAACAAAACAGCATTTTCTGGCATCCTGAGACTGACAACAGCCTAAATATACACATAATACTGACTCACACAAATTTATATATTTAGTTCCTAAAGATCTCAATTTTTCCAATAAATGTCAATTGTTTTTGATAAGTTGTACTCCATGGATTCTACCCATTTCTACAATATATTACCAAAAGTATTCACTCACCCATTCAAACCATTGATTTCAGGGTTCCAATCGCGCCTATGGACACAGGTCTGTAAAGTCAAGCACCTAGGCATGCAGATTGCTTTCACAAACATTTGTGAATGAATGGGCCGCTCTCAGGAGCTCAGTGAATTCCAGTTATGAAAATTTCTTGCTACTAATTATTCCACAGTCAAATGTTAGTGGTAATGTAACAAAGAGGAATGTCATCAACTTTCTGCAGACGTCCAAACTCCGTGCGGACTCCAGATTAGCTCAAGAACAGTTTATAACGAGCTTCATGGAAGGGGTTTCCATGGTCGAGCAGCTGCATCCAAGCCTTCATCACAAGCACAATACAAATTGTAAAGTCCACCGCTACTTGATGACTCTAGAGCAGTGGAGATGTGTTGTCTGGAGTGACGACTCACGCGTCTCCATCTGGTAATGTGATGAATGAGTCGGGGTTTGGCGGTTGCCAGGACAACGGTACTTGTGTGACTGCATTGTGGCAAGAGCAAAGTTTGGTGGAGGGGAGATTATGGTGTGGGGTTGTTTTGCAGGAGTTGGGCTCGGTCCCTTAGTTCTAGTAAAAGGAACTCTTAATGCTTCAGCATACCAAGACACTTTGGACTATTTCACACTCTTAACTTTGTGGGAACAGTTTGGTAATGGCCCCTTCCTGTTCCAACATCTCTGTACACCAGTCCACAAAGCAATGTCCCAAAAGACATGGATGAGCGAGTTTGGAGTGGAAGAACTTGACTGGCCTGCACAGAGTCCTGACCTAAACCTGAAAGAACAGCTTTGGGATGAATTAGAGCGGAGACTGTGAGCCAAGCCTTCTCTTCCAACATCAATCTGACATCACAAATGCCCTTCAGGAAGGATGGTCAGAAATTCCCATAAACACTCATAAACCTTGTTTATATCATAATAAACCACATGGATTAAAATGGGATATCACTCAGGTTCATAAGTGTGCGAAGGCAGACGAGCAAATACTTTTGGCAGCATAGCATATTTGAGGTGCTCTGTGGAAGGGATATATATATATAGGCTTGAATATCAAAAACTCCAAGATACTCTTTTCAAAATAAAATTAAAACGTCTTTATTTTCACAACAAGGTTATGTAAAAACTCCAACGCAGTTTGGCACACAGGCCCACATCAGGGAATAAAATAGAGTCCATGAATCAACTAAATATTTTCTATTAATATTTCACCAATAAGGGCCTTCCACGCGGTGTGTTCTAGTAATAGCAAGCTTCCACCTAAGGGTGAGTGAAATATTCCACCAGTGAAGCCCCACCAACAGGAGATGTCTTCAAAGAGCCTAGATAGATAATAACATCAAGTCAAACATTCATCCAAATTCATTTCATGTCAAACTAGAAGAACACAGTAAAACATTTACTGGGACCATTTGTGTTCTCGATAAATGTTTTGAAGAGAAACATGATTCAAACCAGTCATATTTGTGTGCTAAGTGGAAACAGCTGTGAGCTAACATGTTCACCATTCCTACTGTGTAGACGGGGGAAAGGCAGCAGTGGTGTGTTTGCCATCTTGTTTTCATTTTTTATTTCTTGCTTCAGTTAACTCAGCTTTGAGAAACACTGAAGTCTGGATTCTGCGCTTCCCGACTGGCTGACAGTTATTTCAGCCTAGCTTAGTTTAGCTTTGTCAGGAAGACAACTAGTGCAGTTGCTTTTACCCAAAATGTTGTAAATCTGAACATAAAAAGGTTTCAGTTATAAATACTTTTATCTTGTGTCCCTCATCTGGAACATCTTCTTCACTTTCTTGTTTCTTTGCCTTACATGACATATTTTATCCCATATCCAACATCCCCTCCACTCTTCCTCTCATTTTTCCTCTGTGTCACAGTGAAAAGTGAATAATTCATATATAGGCTGCATGCTGGTGGAGATGAATCATGTGAGAAGAGCAGGATACACGTGCTCCTCTGAGAGCAACTCTCAAAAGACCCCAGCAGTATATGAGGATTGGCTCCACACTCTGTCACAGTACGATACAGACCTCAGCCACTCCATCCCAGCTTGCATGACAGTCACACGTGAGCTCAACACCAGCTTCTCTGCCCTCAGGACCCGGGCAAGAAGCCACCCACAAAGACCATGAAGTAGCTTCTCTCTGCATTGTCTTTTCAGTAGATGTCTGTGTGTTCAGACAGATATCATAACCTGTTTATCTAATAGTTGTTTTCATTCTCAAAATGAATTTAGGACAAACTCAGATCATTTTTAGGTCAAATTAAAAATCGGGACCAACAGGTTAGGTCCAAAGCTTTTTTTTCCAATGGGCCGCATATTTCTGGGGATGCCCAGGCCTGTTTTGGAGCAAACTTTCTTGGGCATATAGGAGAACACAGTTGACGCACACATGCACAGAGTACCATTAACACAAAGTCTCACAGCCAGATCTGTAAACACTGACAGTATTCAATCACACTTCACACCAGGGATGTCAACCTCATTTTACATTGCGGGGCCACATTCAGACTACTTTAACCTTAAGTGTCCTGAACCAGCGACGCATGATATTGTGTAAAATTACAGACTGTCAGACTGTCCCATCATTATAAAATATACAATTTATTGAATTAAAAGAAAATGTCCTTTTTTATGCAAATCCCCTGTAAAAACAGCAAATAGTGAAAAATAGGAACTTTCTGTCACTTAATTGTTTCTTACTTAATTGAGGGGGGTTCTTTATCAATAGAAAAAGCTTTAAAGATCATGAAAATATCCCCTCCTTCACATTTTCCAGAGCACCCCCCCACCCCCGGCTGAATCATCAGTAACAGTTTTGTTTTGAGTTTAAGAGACAAATTACTGAACTATCTTCTGATGTCATATCAGATAATAGATTTAAGAAAGCTACTGCAGACTTGTAATAGTTCTCCTGCAATCTGTTATTCACCCTGTTGACACGTTTGATTTATGGAACACGCAAAAAAAGCTCAGTTTGTGTCTACACAGAGTTCTGCGAGTTGTGTCTCTTTACTCCCACACACACTTATGTCTCTGGAGAAACTCTCTGCTAATGTCTAACTAAATGTGCGTGTGTGTCTTTATACTCCTGCTTGCCTGAGCTCTGCCTCTTGTGAAACTTGCCGTGTCCCGATGCACACGTGTATCCCTCGCAAAGGATAAACACGTTGGTATGGTGAGAGAATCAAAGTAGCAATTATTCATATGCAGGGACCCTCTAAGTTTTCATCCTGTCACACCGTGTTATCAGACCGCGTGACTAAGCAGCAGCCACTGTAGACTGAGAAGCTCAGTGCTTAAAGTCTGCTCTGTCAGTTTGAGATAATTTGGTATTTGACAGATGTAACAGATGGGTGACATGTTAGGGGAAAAGCTTAACCTTTCACTCCTACAGTGAGAGGATCAGCTGGCTCTATAGTGTCCCTTCAGAGGTAATGGTCACTGCACATCAATACAAAGTTGTTCTGAATGGTCACTTTTGTCCTGCAATGCAACACTTCTGTCCTGATCACAGTGGCCTCTGTCTGGATGACACTATCCTCCACCCACAGAGGTTGAGGTGGTTTGATGACGATGAAAGTGATGTAAATCGTGCACTTTGAACTTCACAGTCACTGATCGTTAACCTAGCCAAACACATATGGGAGGTTTTGGACTCCCAAGACTCACATCATCCCAGTAGAGTCGAAAAGACTTGGAGAATCTCTAGCAGCGTGGGGTTGACAAACTTTACCGAGACACGTCTCTTTTTTTCTTTTGTGCCTGTCAGTGTAATTAAAATTCAAGGTGTATAACAAAGAAGCAGCAGCCACAGAGAGATGTTATGACTCAGATTTGAATTCACTTTAGAAGATTGCTTCTCCCACACCGTTACTTTGAGAAAAAAAAAAAGATTATCTCAGGTTTTATTTTCCAAGCTCCAGCCTTCTTTTATAATAACATTGTACCCATCATAGTAATGATGATCACTCAGTCAGATGCATACTTTCTAAACAAAAAACGAGGGTTTGTTTAGAAAGTCTAGCTTTGCAGAAAATGCATGTAATTGTCTTAGCAAGCCTACGCAGAGATGGGCATTATGCAACCACCAAGTCGCTGAGAGGCTTACAGAGTAAAACACCTTGTGCGCATTAAAGCAATCTGATTGGCTGATCCATGCAATAGTTTTTCTTTAAATCACGGAGACATGAATCTTTGAGAAAGTTGTTTTTTAAATTCACGGGAATATTTCACTAGAATGCACTCAAGACATCATCAAAGGTCTAGTACACTTAGTGCAGCCCAAAGCAGTGCTCTTAAAGCATTCTACTCAACAGCAATCCTGCTGCAGAGTACCTTGTCTTATCAACCAACTAACTAGATATCAGTCCACATTATGCCACGCTGAGCCCAAAGCAGCTGACTTCCTGTAAGGACTATGATTGAATCCTTGGAAGCTGCTCCTTTGCCTTTGCCTAAAGGTTTAAAGCATGTACCAGATAATTAAAACGTCCACTTTAAATATTATCATTATCTTTGTTGCATATCACTGTCCTGTCCCTGCCTTCCCATTGCACCTGCCTCTTGGCTAAAAACTAAATAATCCCACAAAATAAAATAATTCCAAGTTTTTCTATTTACATAAATCATGAAGATTCATTGCCCAGCATCATCAAATACTTATTAGTCAGGTGGTAGTGACCGTGTTGAAAATTATGATTATGATGGGTGTCTTGGTGGTAATGTAGGATGTGCTTGTTTGTCCTAATAAGGTTCTCCTGCTTTTTCTTTGCCTTCTTAGATCAGCCGCTGCCTGAAACCTGGAGGTCGGTTTGTCTCCGTTACCTTCGCTCAGCCTTTTTTCAGGAAACGGCTCTATGCCCGTACGGAATATAAATGGTCCATCAAACATCAAAGTTATGGAGAAGGCTTTGAATATTTTGTGTATGTCATGACCAAAGGGGAGAAGCTCAGCCCGGAAGATGCAGGTCTGGAGAAAAAGCTGCTGCAGGACACCGAAACTCCACCAACCAGGATTACTACAATAACAAATGATGATAAGGAAGACTTCCTGGCTAATATTGACCTGTAGGGTGACTCTGATATGTAGGATTGCCTTTATAAGTAATCTTTATATTGTGATTTTTTGCAACGGGAAACTGTTAACCAAATTTCTGCCTTACTGTTTTTATGTATTTATTAAGAATTTGTAAGGAGTAACTATTTTATACTGTTTGACGTACTAGATATTAGTTTTAAAGTCTAATTTTATCAAGATACCGATATATATTTGGATAAATGTTCTGCAAATGTAATTAAGATGTTGTAAAGATAAGAGAACTGCTGTATAAATGGAAATTGAAATCCATATTTTATCTAAATGTTTGAGACAAAATCCTGCGTCTGACCAGATGTATTCACAATAGTTTAATAGACAAATGTGTGCCTTTTGTCGTTTTGAAAACATGATTAACAAATGTTACTCTTAATAAATTTCTCATTTGCAAAGAAAAAAAATGGCTAACTGATCTGTTGTCTCAATTCTTCACGGCTCAGATTCAACAAGGTGCTGGAAACATTCGTCAAATCCCATCTCAGAGTTGCTCTGTTGGATTGAGATCTGATGACTGTGGAGGCCACAGCAGCACCATCACCAGCCTGAACTGTTAACAGAAGGCAGGATGGATTCATGCTTTCATGATGTTTACACCAAATTCTGACCTCACCATTCAAATGTCACAGTCGAAATCAAGGCTCATCAAACCAGGCAAAGTTTTCCAGTCTCTTATTTTCTAGTTATATTAAGACTTTTTGAACTACTGGCACCCAGTGTGGTCTTCTGCTGCTATAGCCCATGTGCTTCAGAGATGCTCTTCTGCATACCTTGGTCATAATGAGTGCTTCTTTGAGTTGCTGTTCCTGTTAGCTTGAAGCAGTCTGGCTATTCTTCTCTGACCTCTTGCATCAACGAGGCATTTTGACCCACAGAACTGCCGCTTACTGGAAACTTTCTCTTTCCCGGATCATCCTCCCCTATGTGGGAAAATCCCAGAAGAGTATTGAATTGTCTGATATTTCAAAAGTGCATCACATTCCCCAAAGAGGCAAAAAAAAAACGTGGCCTAATCTCTTTATGAGTTCAAACTTGCCTTCTCGTACATACAAGAAAAGAGTGGGAAAATCTTGTGATTTCCCAGATTCGGGCAGATTAAAGCTAGGACACGAATGATTTGGAGCTCTCACTTTTGCACCATTAAGTGTGATTTCTATCAAGAGTAAGTTTGCCTTTATTCCAAAGATTTGGACATTATGAGAGAGAGACAAGACAGTTGGATGCAGAGGAAACGCAAAGACAGTTTTATTGTCCTTTAGGCCATAAAATTTGATTAAAAATGTGTTAAAACTATAGAAAATATGATCCAGTGATGACTTAACTGCTGTTCACACAGGTAGACTCACTGAATGTCTCTCACTGTCTTAGACCATATAGAAAGAAAATAATAGAAACAAATGTCTCTCAGTGAACAGCGATGATTGATAACCACCTTCACCTTTTCTCATAATTACAACATCAGGAACTTGTAATTACGAGAAAATTGTTATACTTGTAACAGAGCTGGCTTTCCTGTCATTATGAGATACAGAAGACGCACTCAAATTATGTAAGATAAGACTTCCTATTTGAATGTGGAGAATGCGCTTCCACAGGAAACGAAGTAACCATCCTACCTCTGAGGCGGACTTTTGTTCGTTTTTAACATGTTTATTGCTGCATCAATTAGTGTAATTATGACATCATCAAGAAGGATTTGTTCCTAGGTTAACTGTGACTCATGGTGCGACTTCTTTCTGTGTTAATATGTTCCGTCTGTGCTGCTACTACACCAGCTTCGGCTCTTGTTCAGTTCGTAATTGAAACTTTTATCATTTATAAACCAATTTCACATCTCAGTGTCATGCCTGTCTCGACAATATATCAGGATAGTTCAGCGATCTCTGCATTCTGGAGTGCAGTACTAGTCTGCCAATGTTATGCAGATTGCAAGACAAGCTGGCATGTCTAGACGTAGTGCATACCAACAGCAGCAACAGCCTGCATGTAAAGTATTAGAGTCTATCAATATGTCAGTCACAGTCTCCCCTTTCTGTTGGGGTTGTTTGCATGAGCCCCGTGTCTGCTTTAGATTCCAGACAATCGCTGCTAATGGAGAAATGCATATTTGACACACCTTTGTGCACATACAAATGTACATACAAGTAATAGCTTGCCCTGCGTGCTATTTGTTGAGGATACATGAGATGAAGTGCAGGTCCTATGATCTCTGCTGCTTAAATATAGACAGGAGAGAGAGGGGAGCGAGAGCACCAGGCGTGCAGACAGACAGGAAGGCTGGTGACTGGAGGGGGGACCACATTAATAAAGTAGAAATCATTTATTTTTAATTCTCCACTGAGATCTAATTACTGCCTATTTTTAAAACGTGGAGGAAAAAAGAGGTGTGTGATTTTTTTTCTATGCCTTTGTGTTCATTCTGTTTTTTTTTGTTGTTGAGTATCACCAGTTTATTATTATTGTTGTTGTTTTTAATAAACCGTAGCTTTGGTTTCTGAGTTTGAGGTTACAAAACAGCCTCACCTCAAGCTTTGCTTCACAGCTTCTCTGGAGCTTTTCATCTTGTCATTCCCGAAGAAAGAGTTCCCCCGCTTGTTGATGAATTAACTGATTCATGATTGTTTCAAGTGTTGTTTCCTTGAATGTAATCATGCTTAACAAAATAAATAAATAACATAAAAAATTTGTGCCATGGTTTTGATTTTTTCCTTTTCGAAACTTGTCTTCTTTTTGGTTGTTCTTTTCCCCTCAGGTTTCTTAGATGGGGTCTCCTGTCATTGCTGTTTGTGTCTCTGCCTTGTTTTGTTTGCCACTTTCTTTATGCATGTTCAGCTCTTTTGCATTTACTTGTTGCCTTCCTTGTTGTCTTCCTTGGCCTCATTAGCTTCTCCTCTGCCTTGTTTCCCTGGTATATTTCCTTTTCCGAGTCTATCCTGTTTTCCCACTTGTGGGCTAACCTGTACAACAGCGGTCCCCAACCTTTTTTGCGCCACGGACCGGTTTATGCCCGACAATATTTTCATGGACTGGCCTTTAAGGTGTCGCAGAAAAATACAACAAAATAACACTAATACCGGTACCAAAAAAAGAAAATTTATTCTTAACACATGTGAAAAGACCAAGGAAAACCGAGTAAACGATAAAAACGATAACAAAATAACGCTGAAAACCAATGAAAAACCCTGAAAAATATACATTTCACACCTGAGCCTCAACTCTCGCGGCCCGGTACCGGTCCAAGGCCCGGGGGTTGGGGACCGCTGCTGTACAACACAGCAAGTTCATCATATCCAGGATATAAAAGAATTCATGTTGGCAGCTTAAGATGAGTCAGAAACATGGACAGGTCTACTGGCAGCAGAGCAGCAAAATTTGTAAAGGAAGAGCAAACTATAAGAAAAATCAGAAGAATTAAAAAATATCATGCAAGTATTAAAAAAACCACTAAAACAAGGTGTGAGTGATAGAAAAGCACTACGTGCACTGTGTAAGCTTTATCGTAATATGAAAAAAAGCAAGAGTTGAATTTTATTTTAAGCTTTTGTTGCACTGCACAGAAATATTGGTTTTTATTAACTTTTGAACAACGGGGAGAACTGGGAGTTATTGATGACTATAGAGGTCTTTTGCAGGATTGATGGTACCCTGTTTGGCATAGAAAGTATAAATGATTGGGATAGTAACCAAAGTCCCATTCAGACCACCAGACTTTTCCTTCATGGTGTTTTGAAATGTAAGAGGTCTGAATCTCACTTTGAAACCAAACTCTTAAACTTTTATTGGCTTGACAACAATTTGCTAGTGCCAAGTTGCTTGCCCATGAGTATACCCAGTTGAGGTCAATTTTAAGTCATGTCTGCACATTCAGAATCAAGATATGCATCATCATAACTACATTTTATCATCTGAAAAGGGTCCACCTCACAAAAGAAGTGAGAATACAAAGGAAAGAGTCAGCACAAGTGTCTACATGTCATCCTCTTCCTTCTTAACATAAGCCTTATTTTCTGAACTGAAGTCAGGGCTGTAACTCACAAATAGGTGCACAAACACTTATTGTTAGCAGATTAGACATACGACCCTTCTGTTTCT